CATGTTTGAAAAACTAGTAGTGCATCTGTGAATAAATGATCACAGAGAAAGTTAGCTTTGCAGGTGTACTTCACTGGAGCTGAGATGTGTAGGGGGTGTTTGTTAGGCGTGCAAGTTTATAGACTCTTGTGTGTTCTTTGCTGTCCCAGGGGTTCCTACATTGTCCATTCCCACATTGCTTCTAAGGGAAAACTTTTTAAGCTTTTTGAGCTTTGAGCCTTGGGTTTTTTGGCCTTTTCCTCATGGGCTGTCAGCTTAACTAGTGAGCCATTTGGGTCTTTTCCATTAGTACATGAGCTGAAAAGGTCAGCTGGGTGCTTTCTCTGCCTCTAAACCCTTCTTCTCTAAACCCTGAGACAGACTGTCTCTGGAAAAGCTGCTTCTGCCAGACTACAGTGATGGAACTGCAGCTTCAGGAGGAGGACGTCTCTAATCTTTCAGAGAAAAGCAAATCCTCATTTGTTAGGTTCATTTAGTGCACAATATCCTGACGCACTGATGCCAAAACCCACAATCCCATATTATCACAAGGGAGTAAAATAAGTTTAACTGCAAATTACCGTTTCTATGGTTTCACCATGCCTGGAGCTTGAACCACAGAATTTCGAGATACTCTTAAGTTATTCATTCTTTCACTTTGCATTAAATTGAACTAAGCAGACCTAATGCCCTTACGACCTTGCATTTAAAGGCACCATAAAAACCCAGGGGAATTAGAAGTATTAGCAGTAACAAAAAATGTTTAACCAAAAAGTTTTGGCTAAACAATTAGTTTTATGTATTAAAAGCCAATATGTTCATTTGCAGGAAAATAAGTTAAAGTGGAAGACACTCTGTTAAATTAAATAAGCCAAGCACAGAAAGAAAAAGACCTGAAAATAGAAGAGGAATTATTGTGGAAGAAATGTGGTGGGCAAGATGAGTAGAGGAAATAAACTTCTAGAGGAGGATAGGAGAATACAAAGGAGAGTGGGCATAAATCCTATTAAAAGTCATTAATATGCACAATTGATGTATATTACTATCTATAAATGTGGCTTACTCTAAAAGAACACAGAGGTTTTGTCTTTCTTCCTGACTCAGTGCTTTTTGACCAGTTTCTCGTAGATCACTGGTCCTAACAGGCAGCTACTGCCTCATCTTAGTCCCCAGGTCAGCTGCTGTCGCAGTGCGGCTAGTGCCCCTCTGCCAGCTGCCTTGCACCACAACTGAGATTCTGTAAGATTCACTCACTTCAGTATGCCATAAGTCTCAGCTGGGGCTTCTATTGCTGTGATGAAACACTGACAGAAATAACATGGGAGAAGAGGGTATTTTTCACCTAACAGCTGTAGTCCATCATGATGGAAAGTCAGGGCAAGAACTCAAGCCAGGCACCTGGAAGCAGGCACTGAAGCAAAGGCCATGGGGGAATGCTGCCTACTGGCTTGTGCCTCATGGCTTGCTCAGCCTTTCTTATACCACCTACCCACCCAGGGATGACACACCACCCTCTGTGGGATGGGCTCGCCCATGTCAATCATTCACCAAGAAAATGCGCTCCAGACCAACATAGCGTGAGCACTTTCTCAATTAAGGTTCCCCTTCCCAAATGACTCTAGCTTGTGCCAAGCTGACAGAGAAAAGTAGCCAGCATGCCATGCAAACATCTCTCTGCCTATGTGTGTCAGTTGTAAAGGTCTGAGGAGCTCAACACTGTGTGCCAGATGTTATCAAAATTATTATATATTTATAGCCCCAAGTGGATACTAAACTAGTTCTCATAAAGAATATCATATAGGCTCAGCAAAATCACAAGTGATTAACAAGGGAAGTCATGTTCAACGTCAAGGCTCAAGGACAGGGAGCTGCCAGCTAACATACCACACTGCTAGAAAATGGCAGGCCACAACTTTTAAGTCATGGCTCTCTGCATTCAAACCGTCTGTTTTCCCCAGTACATCTCTCCACAGGATGACATTCCAAGAGTACACTTCAAAATCTGCCTTGGGTTTCATTCTCTGAAGACAGTTCAAATAGCTTTCCTTTATTTTTCTTGTGGCTGGCAGGCGAACACTGAGATATACAGGGACTCATATTCTCTTTGAACTTAGCAGGACTGGGGAAGCATAACACTAGCCAGCATAAGCAGGCCAGGCCAACTTTCTCCTCAGCCCCCCACCCCAGACACCCAGAAGCCAGTCCTTGTTGTACATGAATAGAAAGCAGTTGCCCACGTGAGATGTCCCTGCAAAGTTATCTGTTAAGAACGAAGCAGATTTAAAAGAAAATGCTATGCTGCCTTGACCAACATCCTCAGCTTTTATTTTGTTTTACCAAGCACAGTTTCTTATTATCCTTCCTATACAAAGAAAGAATAGAGGTGCATGAAAGAAACTGTCAAAAATAAATTACCTTAGGAATAGATAAAAGAAAATATAAGTTTAAACATGGCCAATTACTGTCAAAAGATATTATTGAAATAAGCAGAGTTAAAGTTTGTTACCCTTCTAAAAGACAGGCAATCAATAGACTTCTATGGCTATAAATAAAATTGTAATTTATTACAATGTAAAGAGGATGCATGTGCAAAATTAGCGGGGTATGGCAAACATGTACAACTAGGTGATACAGATAGATCAAGCAAAGACAATACCTAAAATATTAACCACAAGACTGGTTTTTCTCTCCAGATATGAAGTGCATGATGGAATGGCTGGGCATGCATGGCATGAACCAGTATGGGTGAGCAAGCCTGAGTTTCAGCATGAAACCGATGTGGCAGCTGCATGAGCTTGAAGTAGGTTTTGCATCTCATGTCTAAAAATGCTTCATAGCCACAAAACCTGGAGTCTAAATGGTAATTCTGCCATTTAGTAATTGGGAAAAGACAGCTTGGTTAAGCTTTTAACAGAGAAAGGGGGTCATTTTATTATGCTGTCAACAGATAAGGCAGTAAAATGTTTGATAAAGAATTCTTTTATCAATTGCTCATTTTCAAAATTATTTAAAAAAATATTTCCAGTAACCATACACTATCCACCAGGAATCAAATTCTGTGACTCAGTGGCAAGAAAGCCAAGACCATGCCCTGGAGTAACCGAAGCACAGCACTAATGACAGGCCTTTCCCAGAAAGCCCGTGGAGCCTTCCACAGGATCCGAAGCATATCTGGAAGACAATTCACTCTTCACATACGGGTGCAGCAGCCCCACCTCACAGAAGTGGCTCACCTCTTCTCCATATTTTGTGACTAAGTTTTTCACCCTGATACATAAACGGCACATTTTCCTCAGCAGTTTCTGTCCACATAAACCCTTCTTTTAGGACATTTGGGTTCTCAATTAATTAAGAAAGATATGTCCATACTAACCAACTACAAACATTGAGGAATATAGTCCTTCGGGTGGCTACCAAAGCTGAGAGACAGAGAGACTGAGGCCGAGACAGAGAGAGAGAGAACAAGCGTGTCTGTGTGTGTGGTGTGTTTGTGTGCACTCATGTGGACATGTTTTCCAGTGATTAACTCACATATGCCACAGTAACACCCTCAGCACCACTTATCCAAAGTTAACATTGGTTAAAAGATGTGTGCTTAATATTGTAAAGTAAAGGTTTAGGGAACACTTTATAATTCCACAATTTATTATTTTTTAATTTTTGAGCTAACAATTTTTTTTCCTATACAAACATGAATTCACAGAAATGTTTTCAAAGCAAGAAAATGCAATATCCTGAGCAAGTGTAAAGAAACTAATAAAAACCATGAACTGTGGGGTCAATGAGCACCTTGAGGGAATATTAACAGAGTATTCCTGGAGTGTTACTTCAGTTCCAACAAAACTCTCCACATCCAGATGTTATAAAGCCTACCCAAACAACTGTAATTAGAGCACACACACTAGCCTTGCTGTCTGTCTTGGGAACTGCTCATTTAAACATAATTTCCAATGAAATTCTTCTAACATCCAATTTTACTTTAAATCAAAGCTTTGTTCTAAGCATTGTATAAACCATATTAAACCATTCTAAGTCAATATTTATTTCCAGCCAAACAAACACATGCAATGGCAGATAGTGCTGTACTTAACAAAATGGCAACAGATTCCACAACTTACTTAAGCAGATTGGAAGCTGGCAAGCAGGTTCCATGCTAGGCAAGGAAATGGTTCCCGCCTGTGGAAACTGAAGTTTCCATCTTATCAGGGTTTTGCTGTCCATAACCAGCCAGAGAAAAGGTAAGAAGTAGGTGCCTAATATAACATAGTGCCTAATAGGTGCCTAATATAATACATGTACAGGACACTAAGATCTCCAGCACCTGGGTCAGAGAAGTGTCCATGGTTCCCCCAACAAAGCCCACGAGTTCGAGAGGATGCACAACATGCTTCATTGGAGCTTCCCTAAGCAGGAAGCTAAATACACACACCTAAACACACACATAGACACATATGAGGGTCAATGAAAGAAAACCTGGACTGCTTTACAAGGATTCATGCTTCATGTGTAGGCTTCAGTAACTTCTAGCCATGACTTATACCAATTAAATAAGCTTTACACAAAACATAAACTATTGAAAATGTGCTAACATTCCATACGGATGCCTTCCTGAGTGACTGCGTAGATCATTACAGTTTCTGATAACTGTAGATCCCCCCAAACTAGCCCAGCCTACTTTGCTAGGATGCTAGCATGTCATTTTGGATAGTATTAGTTAACTAAAATTCAAACGACATATAACACTTAAAATAATATTCAACTCCTGAAAATGGCAAGTTCTAATCCCATGACACTGTATAACGCCTTGCAAAACAATTTGTATTTTGCTATTTGCCTAAGGCTTTGACACCAACAAACACTAATTCTAATAAGCACTTAGCAGGCCTTCTGCTGGAAAAGGAAAGACAGCCTGGTGCTGTGGGTGGCTGGAGACGGCCTCCTCCTCCTTGAGCAATAGTCTGCACGAACCCTGGCTTCTGGATTGGCAGGATTGGTGTTCTGTACTCTTGTCCCACACTCACCTGTGATCCTCTGTAGCAAGGGTGACAACTCAGACTCCTCAGAGAAGACGCGGGCCAATGCTTTCTTCACCCTTCCTTCGGCTTCTTCCAGGTCTTTGTCCACTGTCAGCTCTCCAGTGACTGAGTAAATGTACGTGAGGAGGATGAGCAGTTCCTCGGGCCTGTAGTCATCACTGGCTCTCTGGCTTGAGGACTTAATCATAGGCAGCAGCTGATTTAGCACAACAGCCATGGTTGAATCCCCAAGGCTCTGAAATGGTAGCAAGGACAGGAAGATATGTCAGCCTTCCACAAAGACAGAAATTGGGATCCACACTAGTTCAAAGGTGGCTTGTGAAATCTTTACGGTGCTTGTTGACCAGTCTTCCATTTCTGTGCTTATAAAGCCTGGGTAGAACAGCGTACGAAGTATGGCACTGTAAGTTTTGTTCTGAAGAGCCTGTTTTAGAGAATGGCAGGCCCTTTGATAAAGATCTTATTGTGACTTGAGCAAATAAGATTGTAATTTTTAAAAAATAAAATGCAAGTGGTTCATCAAGTTGGGATATGGCTCAGGGGCAGAATGATTAGCTAGCACATGAAAGGCCCTTTGTTTGATCACCAGCTCTGTAAGGAAATGTATGCACTGTGAAAACTTGAACTCTTAAACAAAAATGTTACGTAATACAATTTAAAAAACAAAGCTGGCAGATTATACAAACAACTGTCGATGTTCCTTTAGCAGAATCTATATATTCAAATAAATGCTAATGCTCCTTTAACAGAAACTACATATTCAAATGAATGTTGAGGCTCCTTTAAAAGAATCACTGTCTTGCAGGATATGCTCTATGCTGGCAAAGTCTGGTCAGAGTATTTTATAGCAACCAAAGGCAATTTCCTCCTAAAGCTGGCAAAGAGAATAATGACTCAAACTGGGCAATTTCACTGATGATGGGTTTAATACTTCTTTTGGTGAATTTGAAGATATCCACCTCAGTTTTTAATACATATGTTTTCATTTTCTTCATTTGCTTTTAGGGTTAGGGTGTTTTTGCTTCATGTGTGCACAATGTGCAAGCAATGCCCGCAGAGGCCAGAAAGTGGCCTTTGATATCCAGGGACTGGAGTGGTAGATGGTGGTGAGGTCCCATGTGGATGCTAGGAATCAAACCTAGATCCTCTGGACGAGTAGCCAGTGCTCTAACCACTGAGGCATTTCTGCAGTCTATCACATCAAATTAAAAAATAATAGTAACAGTTTTAGTTCTTCCACCAACTTCTTAAGTCACACTAAGAAAAGAATTTCAGGATTCTTCACATGTGACAAGAGCATTGCCTTGCTGGAGTAACTATCCCAAGGAACTTCACGTATCATCAGGACTAATGTTGAAGTTTTTGGTAAAAAGACACTAATATTTATATTCTAATTAAAGGCCAAATTATCAGAACTTAAAAGTTACATCATTAACTTTAAAACTGTTCCCTGAACATCTGCTATGTTCTATTATTCTAGGCCTGGGAAACAGAGCAGACAAATTCTCTACTCTTACGTCATTTATGTCATAGGGGAAAACACAATTGAAAAGCTGAGGAAGTAAATGCAGTAGGTGGGGGTAAGTGCTACAGAGGAAAAGGATGCAGGAAAAGAGATGGGGAGACGGGACTTCAGGGAGTACAAGTGTTTGTATGTGTGCTACTCACTCATTTACATGGAAAAAGCCATGTTAGCAAGGGGACACCAGGACAGAGAAAGCCCTGTAGAGATACTTCCTTTAAACAGAGTGATGTAAACAGCTGAAGGTTAGACAAGGAGAGAGCAACCCCAAAAGAGCTTTTCTAGCCTTTTCCACTCAAAGTAAGATTCAGAAATTTATTTTGTACATACAAAAAGAGCCATTATCATTCATTTCTAATATAACTATTTTATTATAATATAATTAATTATACTTATATGTTTATAGCATATTATACAAGAATAAAGTACGAGGTCTTTGGATTGAATAAGATAAAGGAGGGAAAAGGACAGAGATTTTACCAGCACACGGTAACAAGATGTGATTTGCTAATTCATATTCACCCATCAAAGTACCAAGGGTGAGAAGGTTTGAAGGACCTAGAGCTATTGAACAACTCAGGGCGGAGCCCTCAAGGCTTCCCTGCTATCAGGTGTCTAGTCACTTCACAAACAGAGCCTTGTGATTGGCCTGTCAAGAGAAGCAGGTCCCTGTACCCCACCCTACTCCATTTCCCAGCAATCAGGTGATTACGCAAAGAACGTGTCCACCCTGTAGGAGCTCTGTGACTCTACCCTCCAAGAAGGAAGCTTCTAAAAGATGGCTCTAAAAAGTGGATCAGGGCAGGAGACTCGTTTGTAAAGACACTCTTCTAGCACTTGCTCCTCGGGCCGGCACTTCCAAGTCTCCGGTCTGTGGTATATGCTAGACAGAAAAATCTTTCATTGCAGACACAAGCACGACACCAAAAAAATTACATTCAAAATATGATTCAAGCATCCCAAGAAGTCAATAGTTGATTCTGATACAAACAACGGTGGCCAAGTACAAAGATGTGGGTGGGGAAATAAAAATATTAGATTTGAAAACCTAATTCCACTTCTTTTTCTGTCCCATTAGGTAGTTCCCTAACATCTTAGGATATTTTCACATCCAAATGATATGATCTGACTGGAGGATGTAGAGCAGAGAGCCACAGTATCCCAGGCTCTCTGTTTACTTTACTACTGATGGCAGAAGGCAGCAGGCACACTCTTACTTTACCTACTCGGTAAACATAGACTGCTAAAAAATAAAATAAAATAAAAAGAGTAGCTTCACCATAGACTGGCAGAGAAGTCCAGAAATAACAAAGAGAATGTCTGTGAAGTGGGTCAGCTGATATGTAGGTATTTCAGCTCTGTCCCCTGGGATGATCTAAAAACCATGACACCTCATAGCAATAAACACACCCAGATCCTAGTCTCTGATATCTTTCTTTGGTAAAGAAATCAGAACTCTCTAAGGAGATACCTGATATCTAGGAAATGGAAAGAAAATACAGGATGAGTCTGGAAAATCTTATAGTGCCTAAAAATAAAGACATGCAAATACTAACAAACAAAAAGTAGTAGGAATATGTCAAAAAGGACCCAAGAACCAACTGCAAGACTTCTCAGCTGACTACAGATGGAATAATTTTAAAAACAACACAAAGTAGTATTTTTATATAACCTAAAGTACACAAAAAATATTCATCAGTTCATATTGATTCAAATACTATTGAACCAGGGCTGGAGGGACAGCTCAGTCAATAAAGTGCTTGCATTGCGAACACAAGGACCCAGAACCTGTTTAGAGGGTGGTGGATTCACTGAAGCTGAGTTACGTGAGTGTGAGCACCTGACATAGGTGCTGGGAACAGAACATAAGTCCTCGAAGAGCAGCCAGCACTCTTAACCACTAAGCCATCTCTCCTGGCCTGTTGGTTGTTTTCTGATGCCTGCTTTTTCTCACAAAAAGAAAGAAAAGATCAGAGACTCCCCAGATTGAAGCCTTTTTAAAGCAAAAGAAAAACTTGGGCAGAACTGACAGAAGGATGTGTGGATACGGCAGTATTTAAAGGATCTGTGCCACAGCTGTATGGCCGTGGGGAAAATGTCTAACATTCTAAGTTTCAGCTTCCCCATTTGTGAAGTAAAAATGCCTGAATATTAGCCAGCCCCATTACACAGGCACACACTGATATAACACTGGCACAGACTGCTTCAACCACTCTGCCTCAAAGACAAAGTTACTCCCACAATAGGATAGTTTTTTTACAGATGAAAACATGGTGACTCTGTTTTTGAGGGCTAACTTTGCAGAACACATTTGGTATCATTTAGGATACACAATAATGGCCATATTTGACCAGGCCGTTCTGTGACCTCAGTAACATGGCAGTGCCTGGCATGTGACCTATTTTGTTACCAGCACCCAGGGTAACAGAACCTCCTTTCTGTTACCTCCTTTCCCGGAGGACTAGTTAGGAAAGCTGCTATGGGGAGGGCACATGTTCTAAGAACAGGACATTGGCCATCTCAGAGGAGGAAGGGGCAGTCTGCAAACACTAAGTATAAATCCTATCATGGGACTTCATGCAAAAGACAGTGAAAGGCCAAAGAAAATCAAATGTTACTAAATGCTGCTATTGAAGAGGTGAGCACAGCCAACCATGCCAAAGTGGAGGGTTTTAGAAAATGGCTTCTTTGTAAAGTACCTGGGATTAAGTTTCCCAGTTGCCCTTACACAGGCAGATCTACTTGTAGGAGGCAGAGGACCTGAGCTGTGTCTAAAGTGACAAAGCATTTTGTTATTTCTGCAGTCTGGGCTCTTGTTATTCTTGAACCAGTCACCAACAACTCCATACAAAGGACTCTTTAAAAGGTATGTTGTCCTCAGAGAAGCTGACTGTGAAGTCAAGAGCTGGTCTCTGTTCTAGCATGAGGACCATACTCCATAGGGCAGCAGGCTGGTCCAGGCAGGCCCTACCTCCTCACGGAGAGCAGGAACTTTTCAGACACTCAGCCCAGTTCCAAGCCACTAGCAGAGAACAGTTCCCAGCAACCCTGTTAGCCAGCATGTACAGGCTGGGGAGATATTGCAATGGGGTCTTTGAAAAGCACCCAAACATCTTCCTCCACACAGTACCTGCAATAATTAAAACCAACCTGTTACAATAATATTGGAGGACTCTGAATTCCCTTTTATACACACCTCAGGCAGAATGCAAAAATGAATAATTCATTGATATACTCAAGTATCAACGAACATCTATTATGCAAATAGATACATATACCAAATAAATATGTTATTTAATTAATTGTAAAAATAATTTTACATAACAAAGAACAAAGTGAGACATGGGCTCAGAGGTGGTGGAGGAGTAAACAGCCATGTCATAAGAAAGTTCTTAATAGAGATGTCTGCACTTGCTTTGGAAACATCCAAACAAATCCTGATAAAGCACTTGCCAACTGTGTTTTAAAGAGCCAGCATCCAATATGAGGGAGGAACGAATTATAGGGCAGGATCCTCCTTCCAAAAAGTATTTCATGTACATCTACCAAGAGGGTAGGCAGAGTAATGCCTGCTTCCTGTTGTCTGTGACTATGTTATGTTACCACATGTGGCACTGACACTTCCAGATGTGATAAAGATTATTATGTTAGATACTTGATCAAAATGTAGAAACTGCATAAAATAGGAGAATTTATTTCATTTTATAGTTGCA